TCCAGAGGAAGAAGTCCGGGGAAGCCTCCTCCAGCCGCGGTGGCGATGGCAAGCGCCGTGGCAAGACTTCTTCGGAGAAGAAGAAGAAGGTCGACCCCAACGCCTGCCGGCGCTGCGGAAAGACGGGCCATTGTGCAAAGGAGTGCCCAAATCGCAAGCAGGAGAAGAAGGCTGAGGCTCATCTGGCGCAGGCTGATGATGATGATGATGCCACTCTCCTAATGGCGATGTTCTATGCACTGCACGACGTTGAGGCCAAGAAGAAGGGAGAGGGGATGGTGGTGAAAGGGCCTGGGAATGCTCTGAAGGCTGTCAACCTCGATGAACCGAGCGCCCAAGTCCACCTTGGACGTGTAGATGGTGAGCAGGAGCAGCGGTGGTCCCTAGACTCCGGCGCCAGCAACCATATGATGGGCTCCAAGGCAGCCTTCTCTGAGCTCGACGACGACGTGACCGGCACGGTGAAATTCGGTGATGGCTCAAGGGTGGTGATCCGAGGACGCGCCACCATCATCTTCAGGTGCTAGAACGGTGAGCACCGCGTGCTGACGGATGTGTACTACATCCCGCAGCTACGTTCAAGCATCATCAGCATTGGCCAACTGGATGAGCGCGGTAGCAAGGTACTGAGCACGGACGGCGTCCTTAGGATTAGGGACCGGGAGCAGTGACTTCTTGCCAAGGTGAAGAGGTCCCGGAATCGGCTATACCTGCTCGGCCTCAAGGTGGAGCAGCCCATCTGCTTGGCTGCACGGTGCACGGAGGAGCCGTGGTTGTGGCATGCCCGGTATGGACATCTCAGCTTTGACGCTCTTGGTCGACTGGAGAAGATGCTTTCCACGACGGTGAGGAGGTGCGGTTCCGTAGGCTGGACGACATTGTCGGCGGCACAAGGCCCTTAGGCCTGGTGGATCGGCTGCGCAATGACCCATAGCTCCTTCTCATCAGTGCAGAGGAACCACCCACATTCGCGCTGGCCGAGCACGATGCAAATTGGCGACGGGTGATGCTGGAGGAGATGAAGGCGATCGAGGAAAACGAGACTTGGGAGCTCGTCGATTCACCTCTAGGATGTCGTTCGATCGGCCTAAAGTGGGTGTACAAGGTCAAACGGGACCAGCGCGGCGCCATTGTCAAGCACAAGATGTGCCTCGTCGCCCTAGACTTTGTCCAGCGCGAGGGCATCGACTTCGAGGAAGTCTTTGCGCCGGTAGCGCGCATAGAGTCTATCTGATTGCTGCTGGCTTTGGTAGCAGTGAAGGACTGGTGCGTCCATCATCTAGATGTAAAATCGGCCTTCCTCAATGGCGAGCTGGCGGAGACGGTCTTCGTCAGGCAACCTTCGGGTTTCACCATCAAGGGAGCGGAGCACAGGGTGTACCGACTACGTAGGGCGCTCTACGGGCTCTATGTGGAACGCCAAGCTTGATGCCACGCTGGGCGAGCTTGGGTTCACGTGGTGCGCAACTGAGCACGTGCTCCACACGCGGCGATGGGGGAAGGAGGAGCTCATCGTCGGCATGTATGTGGATGACTTGATCATCACCGGTGCGCGTTCGGAGGACATCGATAGCTTCAAATGCGAGATGGTGGCTCATTTTCGAATGAGCGTTCTCAGCACGCTCTCCTACTACCTCGGCATCGAGATGAGACATGGGAAGGAGGCGCTCATGCTCGGTCTGAGCGCGTACGCCTCGAAGCTATTGGAGCGGAACGGCATGGATGAGTGCAAGCCGTGCGTGACTCCGATGGAGAAGCGGCTGAAGCTGACGAAGGCTTGTACCGTGGCGAAGGTAAATGCAACACTCTACCGGAGCATTGTCGGTGATCTACGCTACCTAGTCCACACGAGGCCGAACATTGCGTTTGCCGTGGGCTACGTCAGCCACTTCATGGAGGATCTCCGAGAGGATCACTGGGCTGTCGTAAAGCGGCTGCTGCACTACGTCAAGGGGACGGTGGATCAGGGGATCATCTTCCCCAAGACCGGTGGAAGTGGGCTGCAGCTCACTATGTTCAGTGATGCAGACATGGCAGGGGACATCAACAGACGGCGGAGCACCTCTGGCGTGCTCGTCTTCCTCGGGTCGGCTCCAATCTCATGGTTGTCGCTGAAACAAAAGATGGTGGCCCTATCCACATGTGAATCAGAGTACGTGGTGGTGGCCACAGCGGCGTGCCAAGCTGTATGGCTGCGTCGGCTACTGGGCGAATTGACCGGTGTGGAAGCTCACCCACCAGCACTAATGGTGGACAACCAGCCCGCCATCACCCTCGCGAAGAATCCAGTTCTCCATGATCAGAGCAAGTACATCAACATCAAGTTCTACTTCCTCAGGGACCGTATCGATAGAGGGCAGATCATCATCGAGTTCGTCGAAACTGGTCGGCAACTCGCAGACGTCCTCACCAAGCCACTCGGCCATCTTCAATTCATGGAGCTAAAGAAAATGATCGGCATGGAGGGGGTTCTAGGGATAGCAGCAGGATTAGGAAAAAAATTGCTAAGTAATCTGCTGCTCCCCTGTGTGAACGCGTGGTAGGGGCAGGTCAACAGCATGGCATGACATGAGGGCTGCTTGATGCATGGCTCGTAATAAAGGTACAGGACTATAGGCACAAGCGCAGATGAAATGTACTAGTTATATTGATGGGGAGAGTCAATAGTGCTCCTTGTGATTTCTGCTGCACTTAAGCTGGTTAAGTAATCTGCTACTCCCCTGGGTGAACACATGGTAGGGACAGGCGCCAAAAGGGCTCCCTGCTGCCGCACTATAGCCGCTACAGGGGCAGGCACCGAAAGGCTCTCCTATCGCACTGTAGCCACAGCAGGGGCAGGCGCAAAAGTCAGCCCTACTATCACATTTAGTCACTATAGCAGCATGGCAGACTGATATGTCTGTGTACTAGGATTAGATGAGTAGAGTTGTATATATAGTTTTCCACTACGACTCAGTAAAGAGAGCGAGTTCAGTTTTGCCATCTCCTCTGCAGAGCACCAGCCAACGTTGGTGCTTGTGCTGTATGTGTGTGTGTGTGCTCTGTTCTCCCTCCGTTCTTCTACCTCTAGCCATAGTGTGTGGTTGACAACGCTGGTGAGTGGTCGGCTCACGCGTGCCGGAGATCCAGGGGCTAACAAAGCTATGATTATTGGCATGACTCATGAACACGGTATAGTGCCGGTGAGCTGGTTGTCATAGACATCCAGCTTCAGCAGCCTACCGTTCTTACCCAAGTTTGATGGGAGCTTCCCAGAAAGGTTGTTCGATCCGATGTAGAGGTATTTTAACTCTGCCAACTCCCCAAGAAGCTCTAGAATCACACCTTGGAGATTGTTCTTAGATAAATTTAGCACTTCCAGTTTGGTTAAGCCGGCGAAGCTGGCCGGTATCTGTCCAGTAAGCCTATTGCTGGCGGCGAGAAATTGATCTCGGGCCCAGATAGCCTCTTGTTGGCCATGACATATTCCATCCAACTCATCACCATTGTCGGACCGGCGGCGGCGGCGACGCCATCGACGTCCTCCATATCAGTTGTGGCCTCCACGTCCTACACCACTGCACGAACGTCGTATGCCTCCTTCTCCTCCTCGTCCTCTGTGGAAAAAGAGCCCATCTCCTACGCAAACTCAACCACTACCGACGGTATAAAAAGCAAGTCCAACCCACGTGCTCTCTGCCCGTTAGCCACTCCCTGCCGCCGGACTCCCTGGCCACGGGGCCAACGGGCTACCGCGGGCCTCCCCTACGTCCTCCCCGGTGGCAACCTCCACCTTTGCTGCTGTCCTCCTCATGAAAGCCTTGTCAAGCTTCATGGAGAGAGCAGTGTTGACGGCCTCATGAGGATCATGATCCTTTGCTGGTGTGCCCTTTGGAGGTGGTGACTGGTTTCAATGGAGCTGCCAGGCTTAAGCTTCCATCCGGGAATCGGGGTCCAGGATGTGATCAAGAGTAAGTTTGGCTGCTCCGTCTCACCCATCTCCCCTGGCCGCGCTTTCTTCTTGGTTGCCTCCTTTGGGCGCTACAAGTTATGTCTCTCCCCTGAGTCTGTGGGTTTCATTCTTCAAGCCACGCTTGGGGGTATTACCGCCGATTTCTCCATCCTTGTTCTTTCTGACAGAGTTTTTAGGTTTTTTGTTTCATCGAGGTTGGTTGGGTTTCACATTTTTAAGCGTCCATCTTTTGTCTATTCTGCTTTGAAAGTCTTCTTTCACCTTAGGAGCAATGGAGGGCCTAACTGTTCCGTGAATGGAATCTATTTTGCCAAGAGGAGGAAGCAGCTTTGTCCGTAGCCAGCAAGAAAAGGGTTGATCAAGGGAAAAGCTTGGTCAGAAAAGAACTTTCTTTTGCTGATGCAGTAAGGAAGAATATGTTAACTGGTGCAAACAACATTCCTATTCAGGACCGGCAAACTGCCAGGAAAAGTGTTTTCGATCGTTTGTTTTTTCCTGAGGTTTTTGATAAATCTTTCCAGAAAGGGAAAACTCCTATTGGTTAGGTTCATCAGGGAGGGACGACGGGGTTTGACCGTCATAGTAATTTGAATTTTGGCTCTAGTCACAGTCAGCTGGCGTCAGAAAAAATCCATCGAGTGTTCTGCGGGCCGAGATTTGCTCGCGCTGTTTGTCGCCTGGACGTGCTAGAGAAGCGTGCAAATCCTCTATAAGATGCTTTGCATGCAGGCATGGGGGACACATATCTCTCAACTGCCCGGACGATAGCAGGTTGACCAATAATAAGCGAGAAGTTACTGCTCATAATGGTAAAGGGGTTCTTGGGCGGCCCAATTTGGATGCTTTGGAAATTGATTTGAATCTTGGCCCGCAGCGCAAAGGCCCACCTATCTTCAGCTCCTCCTTGGCCTAGGCTAGATCCTTCCCATCCTCATCACACGCTCCGCCACCACCTAGGCCAATCATTATTCAGTGTCTGTCTGCTCTTGAGCCTATGACAAGTGGACCCGGTGATGCCGATCCCCACCGGATCATGACTGAGCTCACCATGGGCTATGTGAGTAGGGGACTAAATGGCGCTCCGTCTTCCCCTGTCATTACTACTACTCCTGCCTCCAACAGTGCTAACCCGCTAGAGCCAAGAAAACCCCAATCGGCTGGTAAAGTGTGTGCGCCATTGCCACTCCTCCAACCTCAGTCTGCTCCTTCAACCCCACAGCAGCCCCAAACAATGGTGTTCCAACATGCTGATCCATTCCCCTTCAAGCCTCACGGGATGCACATTGAGGACATCCCCAACAGGCCAATGATGGTCAGAGTTATGGCAAGGAGTAGACAGAGGCCAAGAAACAAAGATTTGGCAATCGCAACGATTTCTTCGCTGCCTGGTAATCCTCTCCACTTCCCCACGGTAGAAGAAATACTCAGAGAGTTCTTAGAGCAGTATAGGACGACACACATTAGTGAAGTGCAGCCAACTCACCTGGGTTAGGCTTTTGTTCGGTTTGAATTGGAGCGTGATAGGGATAGGTTTGTCATCGAGAGTCCGCATGCTTATGGTGATGTGCACATTTCCTTTGTTCATCACAATCAAGGCAGAAACTGGAGGAGGGTCCATTTCAATCAAGAATGTTGGTTGATGCTTATGGGACTGCCTAAGGACTACTAGGAAAGGGAGCACATAGATACAGTACTGGGTCCGTGTGCTAGGACTATTAGCTAGGACAATGATCCAGATCATCTTGCAAGACTGATTGTGAGAGCTTGGGTAGTAGACCTAGAAACTATTCCTCATTTTGTTCTTTTCTCTGGTCCAGAGGGCTATGAAGGTGAATCCTGGACTATGCAATGTGAGATCCTACAGCACAAGAATCTAGGGGGTGGCCCATTTGATGAAGAGCCGGTGCCACCTCCTCCAGAAGACATGGGGCCACCTCTATATGACTTCTTTGGCTTGGGGCAGCATGTCCTAGCACCTATTGCAGAGCATGAGCATCAGCTTTTGCACAATTGGGGGCTTCTAGAAAATGATCAGAACATACAAGGGGAGCAGGAAAACCAGGAGGAGGGGAACCAATAGGCTCAGCAGTAGGCTGACTAGCTGAATTGGCCTGAAGAACTGCCAGCATTGGCGCAAGCTGGGGGTCCATAGCTGAATCTGAATGTGGCCCCTTAGCTGTGGAGCAAGACCTAAATGCACCTACTCCTTTGGCCATTCAGGATCTGAACATGGCCCCCATTGATGAGGACCCTTAGGAAGTCATTGTCCATCTAGGACAGGGGCAGGACCAGGGAGAACAGCAATAGATCCTACCACAGATACTGCCAGTACCACAACAAGAAAAGGTGTTAGAAGAAGTGGCAGATAACATGAAGCTCCTGCTGGATATCCACATACCTGTTCTTCAGCATCCAATGGAAAACTTCCTTCATCATGAAATACTGGAAGAGGATCTGATGGACTTGGAAGTGTAGGTGCCAGAACAGAATCAGCCAGGCGATGAGCGAAACCAAGTTTTTTAGCACAACATTCAATTGGGCATGGTGAGAACCTTCTTCTTCAACAAGCCAGAATTGGAGAAACACCCCCCACCTGAGCTCCCCTGGTTGGCGCCAAAACCTTTGGGTTTGAATGGTGAAAAAGACAAGACAATTATTGAGATCCCAACAAAGTGGTTGGGCTTTTTTTAGGCTTTGTTGCTGACTCCAGCCCAACATGCCTAGGCCAAACAACCACTATAGTCTAGCTTTCCCCAACTGCTTCAAGATGATAGTGACTGGATGACTTCTCTTTCCTTGAAGCAAAAGCCTTCAACTTTGGATGCCTACAGCTTTCTTGGTGCTGAGCCTTCTATAGTTAAGGAGATTGATTCCAGAAGATAATCTGGACAGTGGGTCCCCAAGCAAGAAAAGGACTAGGAAGGGAAAACCTAGCACTCCAATAGTGGATTTAGTGGTAAGATGCAACACTAGAGTCAGAGCAAACTCCAATGGCTTCAAAGTGAATACTTGCAAAGCCAAGAATTGTCTGGATTGCAGCACTGAACCACCAACTGAAAGCTCTAGTTTGGTTTTGGTGAATTGATGAAACCCTAAGTACTAACCTAGTTTATCAAAGTGATCATGAGATAGGTAGCACTATTCCAAGTGGTGGAGCAATGGTGAAGATCATGATGATGGTGGAGAGGCCATGGTGATCAAGTGCTCGGCTTGGAAAAGAAGAAAGAGAAAAACAAAAAGCTCAAGGCAAAGGTGAAACTTGATAAGAGCATTTTGGTTTAGTGATCAAGACACTTAGTGAGTGTGATCACATTTAGTATCGATAGCCGTACTATTAAGAGGGGTGAAACTCGTATCGAAATGCAGTTATCAAAGTGCCACTAGATGTTCTAACTCTTTGCATATGCATTTAGGATCTAGAGGAGTGCTAATACCCTTGAAAATATTTGTGAAAATATACTAACACATGTGCATAAGGTGATATACTTGGTGGTTAGCACATTTGAGCAAGGGTGGAGAAGTTGGTGAAGTGAAGGAGGTGATCGTCACTAGAAAACAGTGACCGAACGCTGCTCCCGGTGTGACCGGACGCAGGATCGGTGAGTCCGGTCATTTATAAATGAAGGTGGAGCGCTCGGGCTATGTTGAAAACTTTTGGACAGTGAACAATCAAAGGACCTGACATGGTGGCATGTCCGGTCGAGGAGGACCTAATGCGTCTGATCTCGTTTGGGCGGCTCTGGAACCTCTCTAGAGTTGACCTGATGCGCGGTGGATGAAGTCATCGATGCATCCGGTCACTTGTTGGCAACGTGGAGTTCTGTTGACCTGACGCGGCGCAGGAGCGTCAGTTCATTTGCCGGTGCGTCTGGTCACCACTTAAGCACGAGAGCTGGTGGAACTAGCCGTTGAGATCGGGCAATCGACGTTGAAGTGCGGGGACACGTGGTCGACATCTGTTGACCAGACGCAGGGGCCGAGCGTCAAGTTGTTTTGACCTACGCGTCCGGTCACCCCGAGGACTGTGAGGTGTAGGGGGCCAACGGCTCTATTTCATGTGAGCCTCTATTTAAGCCCCTTGGTTGGCTCAAGCTCATTCTCTTAGCTATTTGCATTGACATAGCAACCTTATGAGCTTAGCCAAAGCCCTCCCACTCATCTCCATCATTGAGTCATCATCTTTGTGAGATTAGGAGTGAATCCAAGTGCATTGCTTGAGTGATTGCATCTAGAGGCACTTGGTGTTCATGTTTTGCTACAATATTCGCTTGTTACTCTTGGTGTTTGCCGCCACCTAGACGGCTTAGAGCAGCAAGGATCATCGAGCAGAGGAAGGTGCTTGTCTCCGGCTCTGATCGTGGTGATTGTGAGGGGTTCTTGACCTTTCCCTGGTGGAGAGCCAAAAGGTATTCTAGTAGATTGCTCACGGCTTGTGTGATCCTCATCTTGTGTTGGTTGTGTGGCACTCGGTTGCAGGTTTGGCGTGTGATGCCAATTAGCGCGTGAACCTCTAAGTGAATAAATCACCACAACAAGGACTAGCTTGCCGACAAGCAAGTGAACCTCGGTAAAAAATCTTGTGTCATCATTGTCTGAGGATTTCATTGGTTGTCTTGTGATCAATTGATTGGCTCCATCTTGTGATTGGCACACTCCTCGACATGTCAGTATAAACATCATCACCTCTTTTGTATTACAATCTTAGTGTAGCTAAGCTCTTTAGTGTAATTAGTTTTAAGAGCTAGCTTATGTTGGGTCTAGTGGTTAGTGAAGCTCTTTAGTTAGCCTTTGAGAGTTCACTAACTTAGTGTAGTGACTTAGCCAATTGTGTGCTTAGAGATCATAGTCACTAGAATTGTGGTAGATGGCTTGCATTTTTAGCAGTCTCATGCAACACTCGCTTCGCCGTTTAATTGTCTAACATCTTTGCTAAGTGTTGTTGTAGAAATTTTCAATAGGCTATTCACGCCCCTCTAGCCATTAGGACCTTTCACCGACCCTATCCCAGGCCATGATCAAGAAGATAGGAACATCAATGTGTTAGCTAAGGGAAGACCAGCTAGATGAGCAAGCCTTGCTTGGCAAGAAGAAGATGGAGCCTATTGGGAAGAAACCAAAGAAGAACAAGGATGATAATGATGACAAGAAGAACCCCGAGGATGATGACCATTAGCTCAAGGGTGAAAGAGGATCTAGTTGTTCTTTTCTTCTTTTGTTTCTGGCACCAAACTGCTACGATGATCTTTTGTATTAATCTCCCTAAGGAGCACTACTCTATCCTTGTTATTAGTCGGTTTTATGTTATTTCGTTAAGCTTACTGTCCTTGTTTTTCTGCCTGGTGGTCTGGGTGTTTGCCATTGGGGAAATGTTTTTCTTTTCCCCTCATTTGTGTTTTAGTTCTTCTAGTTCCAATGAATCAAAAAAGAAGCTGGAAAGTTCTGAGTTGGAATGTGAGAGGCCTAAATTCTGAAAGAAAATGGAATTCAATAAGGGATAAAATAGTAGAAAGTAGAAGTAAAATCATATGCTTGCAAGAAACAAAGAGAGATCAGTTTGACATCAGCTACATTAAGAAATTTTGCCCAGCAGATTTTGACCTTTTTGAATTCCTTCCTTCGGTTGGGGCGTCAGGTGGAATCTTGGTAGCTTGGAAGAGCTCAGCATTTTTGGGACAGCTTGTTTTTAGCAATGGCTATGCAATTTCAGTAGAATTCACCTCAAAGCTTTTATGGTAGAACCGCCTAATCTAATGCCTCCCAGGAGTACTCGTCTTCCATTAGACACTGAGTACTCAAGGGAGGACACCAAATAACGTAGTTCCATCGAGCACACCCCAAGGGAGAACCCAAAAATCTATATTTTTCCATCGGGAACACAAATGATAGAATAAAGCTTACAACATTTTAGCCATTTCTTACATCACTTTTTATGCGACATCAGAGTATAATATTTACTATTGATAATAGCAGAATATGATCATGTTATCAGAGTTATGAACAATTTAATTTACAGCGGAATATAAACATGTGATCAGAGTTACAGCAGAAATAAACATCTATTCATGACATGATGAAACATTGATGTATAAACTATGACAACATATTATAAAACTTCTATTTATAAAAACATTCAGTGAGAGTTATAAATAAAAACTAAGATCGCAGCGTAAAGGAATCCCCTCTGAGCCCACCAGGAGGAATCCACACACAAGAGTTAGCTTTAGCTTCCACCTGTCATCTGCAACAGGGGGAAATAAAACCCTGAGTACTCAATTGTACTCAGCAAGACTTACCCGACAGGAGGAAAGAAAAGACTCCAAGGATATGCAAGGCTATCTGGCTTGTAGGTTTATTACATCTGCAGGAGCATTACTAAACATGAGTCCTTATATTCGATTTTATTAGCAGTCATCATTAGTTCATTAACTAGCCATTCTATGTAAGCACCTATAATACTTTCAAGCAGGTGGTAAGCAATCAGAATTATTTTACCATCTTTCATCTTCCAATTCTTACTACGTTGCTAGACTGTAGACATGTTGTACCGGATCGCCAGCGATTCACGAATCAATGTGCCCAGCTGGGTACCCCGAAACACACGCCCTGCTTGTACCCTAGACACAAGCAGACCAACCCACCACTCTACTGTCACGGGGTCCAAGTCCCCGTCCAAACTTGGACTCCAAGCCCCCGCTCCTAAGTACCGGACTCAGTGCGGTGCTTAGACCTCCATCATCCCCGCCTCCAATTAGTCGGTCCAGAAAGAGCCGGAACCGACATCAAGAGAGCAACAAGCCTTCCCTGCGCCCATACACAAATATGTGTTCGGGATAATAAGTCTACGACCTGCCTAGAACCCAATGCAACGGCCGGTCCTTAACCGACACAGGCGGAACAAATGCAATCCGAGCCTTGCTCGAATGCCAAACCAAGTCTAGATCCAAAGTACCATTCCGCCCGGTCTCCAATTATCATTTATACATATATTCCAGGTGATAATAATATAGTAACAATAATAATATATTTCCTATCTCTCGCGAGTGACAGACAATCACTCGACTTCTACCGGAGTCCTATAGC